TATATATATATATATATATATATATATATATATATATCTCAGCCAGAGCACAGAAGAGGCTGCTGGTACATATTCACATGGTAAGAACATCACTAGACCAGGTGACTTTACTTTACCTGCTGTGTTTTATTAAGAAGAATACTGAAATTCATTCTGATTCCCTAAATAAATCAAAGTACAACAGAGACAAACCTCACAGAGTACTGACCAGTACTGACCAGTACTGACCAGGAGTGTGTGTTTCTTCAGAGGATGCTAATGTTATTAGCCACATACACTTTATTTGGTCAAACAGTTCTGCCTCCTTGTTTCCAGTTGGAGTCTAGTCCCGTAGCATCATTAAGGCCAAGTATAACAAACACAAACACTTCAGCTCAACCATGAAGTGAACATGAAGTTTACAGGCAGACCAATCATCAGCCTCGGCCTCTTTATCTCCTGCTAAATCCAGCCGTTGTGTAATTCTAATAGCAACATTTAACAAACAGACCTGACATAACTACGAGAGGAAACACAGCCAGTCTGTGTCCTGGGACACACCGAGGACACACTGAGGACCAACACAGATGTCCATCCAACCGGACCAGCTGGTATTTGTCACATGTCCCATGAGGCCTAACTAGTTTTACTGATGGTACATATTACCATAGTACTGATCCTAGAACTAATCACAGCTGGTCTGACGTCCACTGTGGCAGAGACACGGAGCTGTGATGATCCAGGAGGAGCAGTGAGGAGAAATGAAGAAATGAAGTGCTAATCTGAAGTTGTTTACACATGGGACCACATTCACTGGTACCACAGACCAGGACTGAGTCTGTGCCAGAGTCAGTAGGTGTCAGACAGTAGGTGCTTTTTGGTTCATGTCTGTTACATTGATCACAAGAGACGACATTGATATGGAAACAATAATCTTTACACAAAACAGACAAATATAGACTGCCCTGAAATCTACAGACATCTACAGACAAATATAGACTGCCCTGAAATCTACAGACATCTACAGACAAATATAGACTTCCCTGACAGCTACAGACATCTACAGACAAATATAGACTGCCCTGAAATCTACAGACATCTACAGACAAATATAGACTGCCCTGAAATCTACAGACATCTACAGACAAATATAGACTGCCCTGACATCTACAGACATCTACAGACAAATATAGACTGCCCTGAAATCTACAGACATCTACAGACAAATATAGACTGCCCTGACATCTACAGACATCTACAGACAAATATAGACTTCCCTGACAGCTACAGACATCTACAGACAAATATAGACTTCCCTGACAGCTACAGACATCTACAGACAAATATAGACTGCCCTGACATTTACAGACAAATATAGACTGCCCTGACATTTACAGACAAATATAGACTGCCCTGACATCTACAGACATCTACAGACAAATATAGACTGCCCTGACATCTACAGACAAATATAGACTGCCCTGACATCTACAGACATCTACAGACAAATATAGACTGCCCTGACATCTACAGACATCTACAGACAAATATAGACTGCCCTGACATCTACAGACAAATATAGACTGCCCTGAGTTAAAAGGGACTGTAAATGAAGCTGGTATCAATAATCGTCATGATTTATAATCACAAATCAACACCTAGGAAACAAAGAGTCCATCTGTCTCAACGGGACGGCCACACCCAAACTATGATCTCATACGGACGCCTTCCCCCCGTCTGGTCATGACGTCCCCTGAGAACAGAGCAGCTCCATCACTCCCCGCCCCCCCCCAACACAACATCAACCACTGTGTGTCTGAATCACCAGGCGGCAGAGCTGCAGTCTTCACCCTGGGTAAGAATATAGCCATGTTCTGATTGGCTCCAGTGAGACATCCTGAACACATGACCCTCTGCTTGACCTCTTCCTGTCCTTAAAGCTGCATAATGGTAGCCTCCATCTTTTCACTCTGAAGTCTCTACGTGAAATTAAACTAAAGCGTCCACTCACCAAAACCAGAGCACGTTAATGATCAATGGTCGTGGTTTCAGTCCGACCCGCAACAACACGACAGGAAACCAAATCACAGAGGGACTAGAACACACAGTGAACACAGTCTTGGTCCAGTCCAGGTCCAGACCTGGGTCAGTCCAAACGCTCCGTCTCCAACGACCACTGTGTGTCACGAGCTGCATCATCAATGTGAACCAGAGTCTTCAGTTTGTAACCCCTGCTGATCAAACATGATCCTAATAATCAATAAGAAGACTCTGCTTTGACCTCCCGTCCTACTGTAGATAAGACTGTTCACAACAACAAACAACAACAACCAACAACAACCAACACCGTGCGGTGTTCTTCTTACCTTTGTGGCCCATCATCACAGCCAGATGCAGCGGAGTGTTTCCTGCAGAGGAAATAAAAACACATTCTTCAACCATCTCATTTGAGAACAATTATCTCTGTAAACAATAAATGTCAAAGTGCTACGGCGCTGGTCCATTAGTCCATTCAACAGACAACGTCAACACTGAACTGTACAGTGGGTCGAGTGCTCATCTCCTGGAGCAGAGTGGGCATGGACCCAGACAGAAGGACGAGAATACAGACCAGACCAGGACGTGGGGACGGACATGTGTGGACACAGGACTAGTACCACTGACAGGTGGGACGACACTTGTTGTGAAGTGGAAGGCAGTTGGCAGCTCGGTGTATGTTTGAACTACCCCCCCCCCCGTTGACTTTATTTGCTGGTCCAACATAGCAGAGTGTAATAATATGATCTTCTAAGTCAACTGACCACTGACCTCTAGTGACGACCTTTGCTCTTCTTTGGAGCTTCACACACAAAACAATCACACTAAAAAACTAAAGCATTAATTTGAAAACCTAAACCTAAATTCTTAGCTCAAATCATGGAAACATTGTTATTGTGACCTAAACTCCTGGTACGACCTGCCAACACGTCTGCTGTGGCCCACGGGAGCTTAAAAAGTATTTAGTACAGTCCAAGCAGCAGAGATTCTTAACTTAAAGTTAAAGGTTACTAATTTACTAAATCTACATGTTATTTAAAGAACAAAATCAAGACATGTTTCTGCAACAAGACACTCTAATGTTGACGTCCTGACATCCTGACGTCTTGACGTCCTGACATCCTGACGTTCTGACCTCCTGACATCCTGACGTCCTGACATCGTGACATCCTGACGTCCTGACGTCTTGACATCCTGACGTCTTGACGTCCTGACATCCTGACATCCTGACGTCCTGACGTCTTGACATCCTGACGTCCTGACGTCTTGACATCCTGACGTCCTGACATCTTGACGTCCTGACTGGTTCAAATATCTACCTGATGAATCTACAGTCAAACACTGCAGTCAATAAGGAACATAATAAATGTGTTGATAGAAGATCAAAGACTCGTTTCAGGACTAGTGACTGTTGCTCAGTAATTATTTCATGTTTGGTTTCACTTCGTTACCAGTAGAAGCCAAACTGCTGGGGCAGTGGTGGCTTAGTGGTTAAGAAAGTGGACTTGGGTCCAGAAGGTTTCAGGTTTGAATCCACCACCTGCCAAGTTCCCACTGACCCACACACTGCCCCCTGCTGACAGTCCAGAAGGTTTCAAAGCAGAGGTCACATTTGGTGGTGTGCAGTGGTGCAGTGGTGCAGTGGTGCGCTGTGTCACACAACTGTGTTCACAGAGTTCAAACCCAACACTGTGGCTCTGACACGGTGAGAGCCGCGGTTTGAAGACAAACCAGATTCCAACACAGAAACCAGAGTGCATTCCATTTTCTTTTAACAAAAGATTCTTGTTGTTTTAAAAGTTGAGGGAGCGTTCGTTGTAGAAGGTGTTAAAAAAACTGAACGTCCTCTAAAGCTCTGCAGAGAAACTACTGTAACTGAGGTATTAGAGGTATAAGAACCTAACCCTGACTACACACCTGACACCATCTTCAGTCGTGCTCGATGGGTGTGTGTGTGTGTGTCTGAGTCAAGTTGATATCCAGGGCTGAATGGGAAAATCGCCTCTTCTTCCTCCTCCGATGCCCAGAGACTAATGGTCTATAATTAAAGCTCAGCCTCAGATGGAAGTGGATCACTGTGTGTGTGTGTGTGTGTGTGTGTGTTCGGCTCCAGCTCCTGATGCACTCACCGTGCACGTCCTTCTGGGCGATGTTCTGTGTCCGGATGAGCGAAGACAGACGCCGGACGTCTCCCTTAAACACACATTCGTGGACCGGAAAGTCCTGCTCGGTTCGGATGATGGGGTTCTTGTTGTTGTCATCTACAACGTCCGGTGTGGACAGTGTGTTGGAGTTGGCGTTGATCTGTGACTGTTGTTGCTGTGTGGACGGAGACTTTAATAACTTGTGATTGCTGAAGATCTTGCTCGCCCTGCTCTTGTTGTTCGTCTTGGAGGTACTGAAGGTCCCGGTCGCCGCCTCCTCCTCCGGCTCCAGTAAATCCTCGTCCTTGCCCGGCCTGTGGTCCTTCCGCAGGGAGCGGATCTTCTCTCCGGTCATTTTCCAAACACTTAGTTAGGAAGCAGAGGGTGTCGTCGAGGACGATGACCCTCCGGGCCAACGGATGCGATCCTCCAGTTGGAGGTGTCCACACACTGACACTTCAAACTCCACCACATGAAAACACTTTTTCCTAACAGCTAGTAATGTGCGCAGGAGATGAGAATACGCCCTGCCTCTGGTTTAACACTTGTTTTTGAAATAAAAACAAACACCGAGCTCTTGTTTTCTTTCAAACACTGTCGCCGTTCCCTGCACGACGTAAGCGGCTCCAGTTTACGACTACGGGGAGGTTCGCCTAATGTCTTCCGCTTCATTGTCTCGCGAGAGTTTATTGAAACTTACTAACGGTCATTGGCGGAACGTGTCACTGGTATATACAGTATATTCGTTTTTAATAATTAAAAGGCAAATAATTAAATGTTTCATTCGAACAAGCTTTAATTTAGAAAATAAATGTATAAAGTGAGGATGTAAACTGTATAATTCCAGTTAAAAAAACGAATTAAACAACAAAATACTGCTGTAATTCAGTGTAATGTTCAATGTGATGTTAATGTTCTGTGCAAACACATAACAGAGAAAGGCGTTGATTTTCGTTCTCACTTTAGTTTGATGTTTCAAAAAGTCTTATTTGAAAACCATGCACTAACCTAATTTAAATGAACTCGACAGTTTGTTATTTTTATGTTCCCTGCGCCGAGTGAAGTTTCCTGTGTATTAACTGCGGTAAGTACTGAAACAACACAGAACTACTGCAGTACCTATAACTGTCCTGAAGGTGCTGTCAGGTGATCGAAGTTTATCTATAGGTTACGGATATTAGCTATTTAGCTATATTAGCTATTTAGCATTAATCCTTCGTTTTCCGGTGTGTTTGTTTGTCTATCCTAAAGCATAGTTATTTATTCTACACATACAGTGGAATTAAAAAGGTCACATATTAATAGAAATACATTTGTGTAAAAGAAAAACTATTCTGTTATTTTATAACGACGCTTTGGTAGAATATCAATAACAGAACAGAAATATCAATATTCACTCACTGAAACTGAGGAAACTCCAGTGACAACTTCATACATTGACTGAAGGGTTATTTTCTCATCACTAATTTTAGGGCGAGGCAGGAACACGGAGTTGGACTGTAGTCAACGTTTCATTGTGTGTCACAACAGAATCAAAGAGCTCGTCTCCCCCTGTCGTTTGAGAACGGACAAGACAGCCACACGTTTCAGAGGTGACTACCACACAAAACAAAACATTTTGAATTAGAAATGTGTCTAATAAAGTATAATTATTGCGTTAGTTTTCATGTTTCATCTTTGTGACTTAAATGCACTCAATTAAAAACAAATGTGTTTTCCCACATTTTATCCGTTATTTAAAACAAACCCAAAAGACTCGTTCGTACATTTTTAACTAAATTACAAATGATTAGACTTAAAACATGACGAAACAAACAGTTAAAACGTATTTCCTCTGACTTCAAATATGGGAAATATTGCATCAGTAACGACACACACTGACTATAGATTACAGCCGGAAAGGAAGAACGCAAACAACGTGGTGAATCACATGGCTTTTACGCCCCTCCGTGATGTCCAATCAGAGGCTTACGTTCCCTTTTGGTCAGTGCTGATTGGTCAAGGCGGGCCAACACGCAGTACGGTTCGATGGTTTCTGCCTTAAATGTTCAGCGGTAATGTATTTGCAGCCTGACTTTACTGCTGCCAACGACCGCTATGGATCCCAAACAGAAACAGGAAGAGCAGGGCGACATTTTCTCCGGTTTTCAAAAGCCATTTAAGTCCTTTGCTACGGACGCCATTCACGTCGGCCAGGAACCGGACCAATGGAAGTCGATGGCTGTAGTTCCTCCTATTTCCCTCTCCACCACCTTTAAGCAGTTTGGACCTGGACAACACGCAGTAAGGAACCACGGGCTGCTCGATTACCGTAACGCTGGGGGTGGACGGAAATGGATTTAGTCAAGAAAAGAAAATAATGCTGTGTCTGGTGTCGTCAAACCATAAATCGGCATTGTTTAATGTATCCAAGTTCAGGAGTGACGTGTACTTTATAAATAGCTGATTAATTATCACCAATTGCAGTATCATAATAACTAGCTCGTACTACCGACAACATTCGCACTACGTCCGTTTGACAAACGAATGGCCTTTGGTTATCGTTCTTTTATACCTAGTACTAATTCACAAAGTGACACCTGCAGTTTTCAGGTCTCTGTCGATTTAAATCAGGTTTTTAAATAATCCACTAATACAAATACAAACATTGACTTTAAACTGTAGTTTGTCAGTTATTACTATATGGTTGGTAAACAGTAATTACCGTATTGTTTTAATAATGTCTCCTAACCAGCTGTGAAACTCATTAACATTTAACTTACTATTAAAGTCCAAAACAAAGGTTTTAACCACACACCTGAGATGTATTTGGTTTGATACTAGTTGTATTTGTTCTACTACTATTACTACTACTTCTAGCATGTGTTTGAGAGTCTTTCTGACAGCGTTCACAGTGTAGACTGCTGGGTGTTCAGAAGTCCAAGGTCTGGCTGATTAAAGAATGACAGAATACTTTTTCTTTTCTTCCCCTCTGCCGTGTTGGGTTAGGGTTAGTCAAACTAGGTCCAGTCTGTGTTAGGAGGAAATGAAGATTTTGTGTTTACTCTCACTTTTATCCCTTAAAGAAAATTTAGATTCACTTCCATTTGTCGTTGTTGATTTTGTCAGCTGTGACTGTGAGAGTCGGGCAGTTAAGTTTGGGAGGCTCTTTGAACTCACACGCCAAGTTAAGAGTAATAACCCGACCTGTCACTCATGCTGACTTTTCACATTCTTGGCCTGATTATCCAGATTATGCAGTCCCTAAGGTTTACTCCACCTGTTTGATCTGAGACTGACCAACTGACCAATCAGACACAAGTTAACTCTTTAAACCTCATGTGTGATGTTAGCTTTAACTTTGGAGAGAGTTTGACAACTGCTGCTGGCCGTGGATATAAAAGAGGATAAACCAGGGAGGAACTGTTCAAGGCTGAGTGATGTCACGTTCCACCCTCAGCAAACAGCCCCCAGTGGTCAAGGCATTAGTCTAAACTGGTTTATGTTAATACCTGTGTGGGTTGGATCGCTCCACTTCAACTTTGAAGTATACCTGTGTTTGTCTGTGAACCTGTTGTACCGTCACATGTAATGCCTCGTTGAACAGCTGTTGGTTAAATTCCCAGTAGACAGTGGTAGTTCTCATAGCACCAAAGACAAACCTGTTTTTGCCAGGGTTTAGCAGTGACATGTTCCTGTCAGGTCACGTTCTTAGCCTCAGGACAAACACAGTGGTAAGGTGTGTTATAGGGTGACGTTGTTGTGTTGTTCAGTACAACAACTGTCTGAGGTCGTGGCTGCGCTAAGATTGTGGATTCAGGATTAATTTAAGAGAAAGTGATGAACTGATCCAGGGCTTCTCCGTTACCCTGATAATCAATACACATGAGATGAGTGAGTAAACGAAGTTGACGTCCTTCACATCACAGCTGATGAGTTGATTAGAAGGTCCAGGAATATACACGCGTCAGTGTTGGAGATCTGTAGCAGTTGCAAACGTGGCCTTAAAATGACACTGTTGTTGTGCAGGGATATGAGTACAGTCGCAGCGGAAACCCCACAAGAAACTGTCTGGAACAGGCGGTGGCAGCGCTGGACGGGGCCAAGTACTGTAAGTGTCCCCCTGCTGGTGAACAGGGAGTTTGGTTCACATTGGAGAGGAGATCAAATTTGCCGTGAACCCAATAAGAAGGATGTGAGCAGGATCTCCTGTGTCTCTTCTCCAGGCATCGCCGTGGCCTCGGGGCTGGCAGCCACGGTCACCCTCACCCACCTGCTGAAAGCAGGCGACGGGATCGTCAGCATGGATGACGTTTACGGAGGTGAGGGTTGAACGTGCAGAGCTGCGTGTCTACTTGACATCACCAGAAAATAGTTGTTGTGTTGTTGTTAAGACATGATTACATTTTTTTATTTTTTATTGCCAGGCACAAACCGTTATTTCCAAAGAATTGCCACAGAATTTGGTTTGAAAGTTTCTTTTGCCGATTGCACAAAACCAGAGCTTCTTAAAGCAGCTCTGAAACCAAACACCAAAGTAAGATCAATGTGATGTTGTTATAATCATTCTATTGTCTGTAGCTGTCAACTGACACTGAGTCCATGTTGTCTGTAGATGGTGTGGCTGGAGACGCCGACCAACCCCATGATGAAGGTGGTGGACATCAAAGCCTGTTCTGAACTGGTGCATGAGCACAACAAAGACATAGTGGTGGTGGTGGACAACACCTTCATGTCTGCCTATTTCCAGGTCAGTGTCTCCCACATCGTTTCATGATCAGTTAATCAGTTATTTATTTTAAACGCTTCCTCAGTTTATATTTCTGTTTAACCTTTTTTTGTTGTTGTAACAGCGCCCCCTGGCTGTAGGAGCTGATGTTTGCATGTACTCAGCGACCAAATACATGAACGGTAGGTTGGAGAAGTTTTTCATTTTTAACAATGTAGATCATTTTCAAAGCCGCTGTTCAAATGATTCACATTTCACATTAAAAACAACAGTGACAGTTGAATTGAATTTAACTAAAGCTTTTAGTGAAGTTGTATGAAACGTGGAAAGTGTTCTGAAAATGTAATCTTATTACTTAACAGATTTAAATTATTATAATGTTTTTAAAACATTCACAAATGTTCAACGTGTTTCTGCTGCTGCTGTTGTACAGGTCACAGTGATGTGGTCATGGGTTTGGTCTCAACCAATCGGGAGGATCTGTACGACCGACTCAAGTTCCTCCAAAACGGTGGGAACAGTTACCTGACAGAACAGTTAACTACACTAGTTAGACTAGTCCTTCCTCTGGGCTACAGCTGTGTTTATCTCATTGGTTTTGTCTTTCCTGTGTTGTTGCGGTGGTTCAGCACTGGGTGGCGTGCCATCGCCGTTTGACTGTTTCTTGGTGAACCGGGGACTAAAGACTCTTCATGTGCGGATGGAGCGGCACTTTAAGAACGCCCTGGCTGCTGCTAAGTTTCTGGAGGCCGACCCCAGGGTGGAGCGTGTCATCTACCCAGGTACTGACACGTCACCGGTGGTGGTGGTGGTGGTGGGGGAGCTGGAGGGGGTGTCTTTGTCTTTACATTGTAACATGTGCTACTGTATGCTGCACCCCCCCCCCCCCCAGGCCTGCCCTCACACCCCCAGTACGAGGTGGTGAAGAGACAGTGCACCGGGTGTCCAGGGATGATCACCTTCTACATCAAGGGGAAGCTGGAACACGCCTCCACGTTCCTCCAGAACCTCAAAGTAGGTTTGGGCTGCAGAGAGTTTCAGTCCAGTACCGTCACCGTCTGAAAAGTTAATTCACTTCAAAAAAGCACTGCGTTACAGTTGATGGAATGACTAACCTGACTTTGTCTCCGACTCATTTCAGATGTTCGCCATAGCCGAGAGTCTTGGAGGTTATGAAAGTTTAGCAGAACACCCGTAGGTTTCCTTTTGATTTGATTCATTTTTGGAGAAGAAATTGTGACTTATTTGTGCTGCCAACTGCACTACTACCCTCTTAACCACACGAGGGCAGCAGAGATCAAGAAGAAACCCTTCAGTTCCTCATGAACTGCTTGGTCACAGGTCTTATTGTTATTGTTGTTATTTTTCATTCCAGAGCCATTATGACCCATGCATCAGTGCCAGAGAAGGAGCGGGCGGAGCTGGGTATCAGTGACACGCTCATTAGACTCTCTGTGGGTCTGGAAGACAAGGAGGACATCATTGAAGACCTGGACCAGGCACTTGGTGCAGCTGTGAGTGTGTGTGGTCATCTTTGTTTCTGACCCGCTGATAATCATCTATCTATACGGTTCAACTTCAGGCCAGCAGGTGGAGACACCGTTGACTGTTTGGCTGCTGGTTGTTTTTATTGAATTCACATCAGAGATCGTGACCACAGGCTCTGAGCTCCAACCTTCATTTTTCCAGCTGGTCTCCATCCTGGTGTTTTGTTCTCCAGGTCAGTCGTGGACGGATGGTGGTGCAGTGGGTGTCATTATGCTGTAAAAACCACCATCTAATTCATCTGGACATGTTATTGCTGTAGTTGTACGTAATTTAGAAAGTTGAAAAAAGCCAAATCCCTCTCCGCCCCCCGGCTCCACGCCCCCCACTTTGGGACCCACTGTCTTGTACTTGTTATTCAGCCTATTTTTTCTGCTTCTCTGTTCCATCTGCCGACCGTCGCAGGATAATGGATGTTAATCAGGTGTTAATGACTGACAGTTGTTAATGACTGACAGTTGTTAATGACTGACAGTTAGTTTACAGGCGAGGCGTCAGTAATTGTTTGCGATGTCTAACAGCTTGGTTTTTTAAGCACTACCTCGTTATCTTTACTGTTGGACGTTAACGTGTCATTTTGATTTTAACTGTTAACATTTCTAGGATCGTTCCTGAAATTCTGTCGTAGCTCAGAAAACCTTTGAACCAATGAACTTAAAAGAAGGTGTTGAAGGTAAAGACATGACAGCTACAGCGTCTTCTAATGAAACACTGTATAATTGTAGTTCACCCTCAGTGAGACAGGACAAACTCCCAACAGTGAATCAACCTGTGGCTCCCGTCTCTGGTACTAAACCTCCGTCCCTCAGTGTGACGTGAACCTCAGATTTGTCTCTGGATCTTCCACCGTGGCAAATGGAAGCAGAATGGAGACAGACGATGTCTGTGGTTTGAAGAACAGACAGGACTGTCGATGGTAACACATTGACACATTTCTGATGAACCAGGATGGTGTGGTTCGGAGACGGCAGTTACATTTATGGTCTTCTTCTTCTTCATTCAGCTCTGGTTCTTATTTGATCACTGGCTGAGTAGGAACACTGGAGACTTCGGGAATATTTCATGTTGTTGAAATGTTTCATCCAGGACACGCCTTTCACTTTTCACTTCTTAAAATGTAACGTCATCTTTTTTTGAGTCTTACTGCTCTCACATTGGTAGATTCTCTGATTCCTCGTTTGAACTGGTGAAGTTGAAACCACACGTCCGTCTGCTGATGAGATCCAACTGACTTTTCATCTTTTCTTCTTTGTCTTCCAATAGCATCCGAAGAAGAACTGAAAGGACCTTGTTGTCCTCACTGAGGATCACAGAACCCCAGGAGACCTGAAGTCCTCATCCATCACAGATCATCACTGGCTGCACATACACGCTTCTTTTAAAATGACGTTTCTTTATGACTTTTTTTTTTTTTTTTTTTTTTTTTACACTCACTTTTTTTACACAGTCTGAAATCTGAGCCTATTTAGTTGAACACAACACTGATATACTTGCTGGGATTCAAGAAAGTGTCTCTCTTTTTGTAGGTTTTATAGTCATCTGCTGCCACCTAGTGAAAGTATTTAAGTGAAATTAGATCATTCTTTTGGTATGTTTTTTTTTTTTAAATAGAGAAAATAATGGAATCTTTTTTATGTTATGATTGTTTTGCATGGTTTGGTTTTTTTATGTTATTTGATTTAAAATTGTCTGAAATAAAGCTTCTTAAAATGTACCTTTGACATGGATGTGGTTTTTATGAGGAATAATAATTCATTTTTATAATAGTAATGTCAGGTCTGGTGTTTGTGGACTGTGTTACCTTAACACAGTAACAGCCGCCCCCGCCCCCCCCTTCCCTGTTACATATATACAGATAACAGGAGGCAGCAGCAGTAACAGCAGTAACAGCAGCAGCAGTAACAGCAGCAGCAGTAACAGCAGTAACAGTAACAATAGCTCCACGGTGAACGTAAACACATCACCGTCATGACCAGTTCAGACTGTTTGTTGTCAACCTTCACGACACTAACGGTGTTGTACGTCCGCTCCGATGAATCACTGCCTTAGTTTGAACCTCACGCTGCTCTTCAACGTCGTATCAAAGACTCATATTTACCCTCCTGTTTGTCCCCGTGTCTTTGACCCCACGTGCACTGGTGGTGCTCCAGTTACCAGCTGTGACCCCCGACCGTACCAGTGGTATCAATGAACGCTAACTGATTTACTCTGGGCGTGGCATATAATTCAGGATGAAAGGCCAACGGAGCCACAACATGACACGGAGTCTGTCTGTAGAAAAAACACTCTAGATTCAGACGTCACCGTTCACCAAACAACGAAGAGACTGTTTTAACCTCAGAATAACCACAATCAAACTCTATTTGTACAACAGACAACAGTGTCAGGAACTGTTTCAACAGAAAACAGACAACAGTGTCAGGAACTGTTTCCACAGACAACAGAGTCAGGAACTGTTTCAACCGACAACAGTGTCAGAAACTGTTTCAACAGACAACAGACAAGAGTGTCAGGAACTGTTTCAACGGAAAACAGTGTCAGGAACTGTTTCAACAGAAAACAGACAACAGTGTCAGGCACTGTTTCAACAGACAACAGTGTCAGGAACTCTTTCAACAGACAACAGACAAGAGTGTCAGGAACTGTTTCAACAGAAAACAGACAACAGTGTCAGGCACTGTTTCAACAGACAACAGACAACAGTGTCAGGAACTGCTTCAACAGACAACAGTGTCAGGAACTGTTTCAACGGAAAACAGTGTCAGGAACTGTTTCAACGGAAAACAGTGTCAGGAACTGTTTCAACGGAAAACAGTGTCAGGAACTGTTTCCACAGACAACAGAGTCAGGAACTGTTTCAACCGACAACAGTGTCAGAAACTCTTTCAACAGACAACAGACAACAGACAACAGTGTCACGAACTGTTTCAACAGACAACAGACAAGAGTGTCAGGAACTGTTTCAACAGAAAACAGACAACAGTGTCAGGAACTGTTTCAACAGAAAACAGACAACAGTGTCAGGCACTGTTTCAACAGACAACAGTGTCAGGAACTGTTTCAACGGAAAACAGTGTCAGGAACTGTTTCCACAGACAACAGAGTCAGGAACTGTTTCAACCGACAACAGTGTCAGAAACTCTTTCAACAGACAACAGACAAGAGTGTCAGGAACTGTTTCAACGGAAAACAGTGTCAGGAACTGTTTCAACCGACAACAGTGTCAGAAACTGTTTCAACAGACAACAGACAAGAGTGTCAGGAACTGTTTCAACGGAAAACAGTGTCAGGAACTGTTCCAACAGACAACAGTGTCAGGAACTGCTTCAACAGACAACAGTGTCAGGGACTGTTTACAGCTCTAACAGGTGGTGGTCATCTGGTGGTCTGGTCATCTGGTGGTGTGGTCAGGTGGTGGTCTGGTCAGGTGGTCATCGTGTGTCAGTTGAAGGGTTAGTTTGTGTCGTTTGTGATGCCCATAAATCCCTCTCTCTGTTGAACCCTTTCCCACTCGTCTCCTGGGGACATCTGTATATTTAATAGTGTCCTTTAGTGTCTTCTCCTCTCATTCTAATAACAATTCAAGGCAAATTAAATTTGGGATCAATACGGCAAATTGCCTCATACTTTTGTGCTTAGCACAAAAAGGTTACTGGCAGAGACCGTATTGATTTTCAACTTTTTTTTGAAACTCTCATTTTGCTTCTGTTGAGTGGATTATTTAATCCACTTACCTTCAGCCATTTTATGTTAAAATAGTCACAGACTAATGGAACTTAAGGACATGGAAATTCCACTCACAGAAGATGAAACTTGTTTTAACAAAAGACAAATTGAATAACAATATCTAAGTGTTTTTTAAGCAGGGTGGGGTCACTAAAGGTCAAATAAATGGGTCACAGATGGATTTGATGCATCAGAGAAAAGTAAACTCCTCAGAAACAGGTTAAAGTTTTCTTACCTTAGGGTGATTGATTCTGGCTCCTCCTAGGGGCGGGGTGCGGTATTTTTCTCCTTTGGATTGAACTTTGTTCACATTTTTCCCTCCAAACAAATCCTCAGGTGACGGATTATCACGGTTGGATTCTGCCAATTAGCTGATGTCGTTCACCTGGACGGGAAGAAAAAAAAAACCTCAGTGGATTTTCTCAAAAAACTTGAAAGGACAATTCCAAGTGCCCTGACGAATAGAAGCGCATAAAAAGAAATACTCCTTCCATGTATCCCAGAATTCCTGGCAGCGGCCCTGGGTGCTGTGATTCAGTGTGTCCCTCAGACCAGTCCTCGTCCTTCTGGACTCCTGAACCCATTACCTTTGGGACCAGTTTATTGTCAAATGTTCCGTGAACTGAGCTTTATTGTCCGACTACATTACTGTGTTGATGTTAATGAGAGGGCAAATAAAGCTGCCTCTGTGGCCGTGTTCAGTTCAAAGACACCCAGACAAAAGGTGAAACTATTCACCTGAGACCATCCTTACAGGTATGCTGCCCCCTAGAGGCTAAATACCAGAATTTCCCAGTAGTCAGTCAGAACTCTTGGATGAAGAGCTGAAACTTCTTCTGAAAAAAACCTCCTTGATGGAACTATTTTTGGATCGGTTCCTTAAAGGGCCACAACAGTTACCATGACAATAACTAGTATCATGGCTTATGATTGGACAGATCCTAGTGTGTGTGTTTATATATTGAATGTTACAACTGCCAACATGGACTGAGAGGGAAACATCACAGCAGACCACGTTATTAGGTTAGCACCAACCAAAGACCGACGCTGTTGTTGTTGTTGCTAACCTTTAGACTATTGATCTTTCTGTCTGGGGCCTTGACCCAAGTGGTGGTCAACAGCAACAACAACAACAGCAACATGGCTCAGACAACAATGACACATTTCTACTAGTACTGAACTGAACTTCTCCACAGACCCAGGAAACCTCATCACCTTTGGATCAGAGCCCGGTCCATAGACTGTGATGATGACGTCACATCATCATGTCATTGGTTCTAATCCAGTTTGTGGTTCACAGTGAACATGTAGCATCAGTCTGACAACAGCAGGGTTCTGGGAACAATTCCTGACTTGGTGGTTCATATGCACCCACCTGCTGGTCATCAGGACTAGAATGGACCAAGGTTCAATTACCGCTGTCTGCAGGTTATCCCCCAGCCACTAGGTGGTGTCTGTTTGTAACATAAATCAGACTTTAAATATAAACTAGACTTAATGGTTTTTACCAGAGGTGAAACCAGCACATTGCTCCAGATTTTTTTTTGTAATAATGCCGATGGTCACAGCTGATGAGAAACGTCGGTCAGATTCTCCCTCCGACCACAGAGCTGAAGAGCTGAGGAACACAATCAGTGCTGTACTGAAACCCAGAGAGCTGTTGTCAGTGTTGGGAGAGAGAAGTCGATGTAGCTCACCTACCCACAACCCCTGGGGGGGGGGGGGGTCTAATAATTAATGCCTCAACCTCCTCATCCCTGTAGCTACAGAAACATGTTCATTTATACACGTTAGCCCATGAGAAAAGAAGAACATGAATCCAATAATCTGACAATGACATCAATGATTTTATGGCTGCTACCGTGGGAGTCCAACCCCCACACACCCCCCTACAAAAAAAAAAGCTTTGAATTAATGCTTTCAAACAACTGAAAACCTTTAGGACTAAAAGGAGGACGAGTGTAACAGGACAATTCATTCAGACGGCCCACTGCTCCACACCGAGGACTGAAAACTCATTTAAATGCAATTTACAAATGAACGGATGAAGAACATCTGCTTTTCAAGATGGCTGACGACCAAGTGAGGGCCGTACGTGATCCTGAGGGAGTCGTACTACAATCACTCAAGTGTTTGTTTGTTTTTCTTCTTTTTCTTTTCACCACGGAGCGAGAATCAAAATCACCACATGTCAGACTGTCATCTACAGGAGCGCCAACAGATGGAGCAGGAAACTGCCTCCAGTCGGGACCCCCCATGAGAGAGGACAGGGCCAGCACAGGATGATCTGATTGGTAACTCCTGTTCTGGGGAGGGACTCGTCAGCGTTAACATGGAGGAGGTGGATGTGGGAGGGAGGGAGGGAGGGAGCCCCCCCCCCCTTCCTCCTCCTCCTCACCCTGTCGAGGTGCGTTATCTTATCAATTATTTACTCTCCTGGGGGCCTGGTGTTCTGGAGAAAGATCAGAAGAGGTGACCCAAACCCTCTACCCCCCCCTCCCCCCCAGTGGCAAACTGGTAAAGTCCAGAGGTGGCAGTAACAACTGACAGTCTGTAGCTGACGTCAAAAACAAGTCAGAAGAAGGAGGGGCGGGATCAGCTGAGAGCTGAGGCTCACAGGACAACTGTCGGTTTCACTAACCTACTACTAACTTAACACACGATTCATTAATGTGTAAAAAAGAAAAGAAAAAACTGGTGAAATAAATCTCCAGAGATAACAGGTAGAGAGCTCCGAGAGCTGACGACTTTCACTTCATCATCTGAGTCAAAACCTCGTCCTGTCGACTCTGTTGGACTGAAGGCTCCGTGGCTTCTCCACATTTCCTGCCTTGGTGAGTGCCTTCTTCAAATCACAGGATGTTTCATCAGTACGAAGCCTTGGGTGTTGGATTATCAAAGAATGTCTTGTTCTGTTTGAGAAATAAAAATCAAAGAGTGGCATGAACTTTACCAAAGAGACACGTTCTAATCTTCTGGGTAATAGTGATATAAAAAGACAAAAAGAATGGGAACATTTAGATGTTCAAACACAGAGGTCTCATCATGTGACTCCCTCCAAACAACTTCGTCAGTCAGAAATAGTTTCATCCCCAGAAGCAAATGAGTCGTGTCCTAAAAAAAACTAATCACCACGAGATCCTGACCTGAACCTCAACAGCTGAACTGGGATCTGATTCAGACCAGATCTGTTTAATCTTTGACAAAACAAATATATGATTTGATCATTTCCTGCTGCCTCTGTCAAACTAAAACAATAATAAAGAACCGACTGCAGTAAATCTGAAATATAAAGAATGTTTAAGTCAAAGCAGGAAGTTCAGGCTGTAAACACTGAACATGTAGTTCTTCATCTTTGCACATCTTTTTTACATTCTTGTCGTATAGTCTGCTGTAACGACAGCCAATAGGATCACAGTTTAACTTCAGCTCCACACGTCTCGACACTGAGTTTTGTTCTGTTGATTTCCAAACAGTTTAAATGTTCCTGGTTGGACAGAATCCTGCTGTCCTCCTCCTCCTCCTACTTAATCTGCTCACGTCAACAGTAAAAAAAACCCAAACAAACTTGTCATGATTTATAACAGCCAATCAGAATACTGGATGATTTAAGCAAAGAATTATTTTATACAAAAACACAACAAAGGCCTCACAGATACTGATCCAAACTACTAATACATTTTTACATACTATATCTATATACCTATCTATATCTATAGATCTATATCTATCTATACAAACTACTAATACATTTTTACATACTACATCTATATACCTATCTATATCTATCTATACCCAGTCGTTTAACAGTGTTAAATGTTCTCACTAAACATTAAACAAAGCCAACAGGTCAGTTGAGGTCACTGCAGTTGGACATCGTTTACTTCCGATGTTGGTTTTTAGAAGACGGACTAGAACTAGATCGGACAATGAAGAGTTCACGACTTTTCTCCAACGTCTCCTGAAACATACGTATATGAGAAAAGTCAAATACTCTGTTAAAGAAGATGGATCGTCCAGCCTGCACTGAGCGCTGAGTCGGCGAACATGGGTCTGATGAACCGGACCTTCAGGTCAGGTTTGAGTTATAAGATTCTTTATTGCTGTTGAATCTGTTGTTTCAGCTGCTGCAGCTGCAGATGGTCCTCTAGAACCTGACAGCAGCGTCCCCCCCAGCCCCGCCCCCTGGAGGATAAATCATGTTAACCCAGTCCTAGACTGTGAGATCGGATTATGATTGATTTATCCTGACAGAAGTCGAGGCTAACAGAAGGCTAACCTTCGTACCACTGAGATTCTCTGAGCTGAGTTCATTTGACGCAGTGAGAGTCTGAGTCAAGAATGAACCGTGATTGATCGTGTTAATCTGATCACTGCACCGATCTCCCTCTGTGGATCAATGGGCGGAGAATTGATTGGCAAGAATGGAAGACACACACACATTTATGAGACAAACATGAGCTCCAGGGCTCACACTAACACATGATAAATTTCCCACTGGACTAAATAATAAATGTGTCATGTGATGCAGTGCCCACATTAACCTGTTGACTTCTGAACATCTTAATCAATTCCTGTTGCACAAAGAGATATTTACTGCATGGAGCCTAACCATTAAAAACACACCAGTTGACTGAGCCACCAGGGGGCGTGGAGCACAGGAAACGTACTCTTCCATCAGGACTTAAACTGGTTACATGAGAAAGGGTTAATCAACCAGCCGTTCATTCTTGGACTTTGATTTGGTTTTTAAAGGTCTAGTGCACAGATTCACACACTCTCTGTTCATGAAACTGTCCCTGGTCTCAGGTCAGGACCTGGACCTGTCAGGTACAGTCCAGAATATGTCCAAATAAGGGCTGTTCTGGTTTGGAAAAAAAAAACAAAAGACAAAAGCTGGCTTTGGTTCAAGGCTCCAGATTCAGAACACAGAGTTGGCTGATGTTACTGTAGTTTTCACCTTGGATTAAAAAAAAAAGAAACTCTTCAGTTTTTCCATTAATGTTTGACGTTTGGTTTTAATTCTAAATCCAATTTAACTGCAGTAAAAATATGCAGTTGTACAGTCAGTGTTTGTTCGGCTGTGTTCCAGTCCTACAGTCACACAGTCCTACAGTCACACAGTCCTACAGTCACACAGTCCTACAGTTCTAACTTTTTTCAAACTTTACTTTTTTCAAACTTTAAATTCCGGTGCTTTAATCAAAGGTTGTCCATGAAAAAGATAAGAAAAAATATATACTTTAGGCCAAAACTTTAGTTATCGAATACTTTTTTCTACTTACTCCCATCTTATTTTTAAAAACCATAGTCAGCCTTACCTTTACTTCTAGCTGAAGTCCGTGGTTGTGTCTCTCGGTTTCCCCTCACCTTAACATCGTCGAGGCTAATGTTTAGTCTCCGTTGTTCATCCGATGACAAATCGATCCTTGAATTTCCAGAAGTTTCTAAATAAATCTGTCTTTGAATGTTCGTGTCTGATCTTCCATGTCTGCTGAGGCTTCTTTGTAAATGTTTCAGGTCACAGTATTCCGAGTTCGTCCAGACGTTATCACACGACGACAATAAAAGACAAGGACAGCAGTAATGGCGGTTTCTGACAGGACAGACACACAGACAGTCTCTTCGTTTGTACCTCTACATTTAAAAAGAACGACTCTTCTGTCCCGTAGTTTGAAGCTAACCTGTTAGCTCCGGCGTTAGCTTCACTTAATTATCACCTGCTGTTTGGACCGGAAGTTATCACACGACGACAATAAAAGACAAGGACAGCAGTAATGGCGGTTTCTGACAGGACAGACACACAGACAGTCTCTTCGTTTGTACCTCTACATTTAAAAACAACGACTCTTCTGTCCCGTAGTTTGAAGCTAACCTTTTAGCTCCGGCGTCCAGACGTTATCACACGACGACAATAAAAGACAAGGACAGCAGTAATGGCTGTTTCTGACCGGACAGACACACAGACAGTCTCTTCGTTTGTACCTCTACATTTAAAAAGAACGACTCTTCTGTCCCGTAGTTTGAAGCTAACCTTTTAGCTCCGGCGTTAGCTTCACTTATCAACTTCCGTTTGGACCGGAAGTCCCGTTTGGAAAAATGTTTCCGTCTTTAAACACAATCCATAGTCAGTCTGATCAGACGCAGAATAAAACCCGCTGTTCTTCACCGACTACTGCCTCGAGTTTGGCGCTGACTTTTAATTGGTCGTTGAAGCCAGTTGGAGAGAACTGTCAGTTCACATACGACGCCTTGAGGTGAGGCGTAGTACTGCCTGCTTTCTCTGCTGACGTTTCTCTGCTCTTTCTAGTCCGATCAGCAGGAACAATTCTCTCCCACAGACATTACAGACATTACAGACATGACACAGACTGTAGAGAGTCACGATGTTGAACTAATATGTCTGTAAAGTTCATATTGATGATATGATCTGAGGAACAGAAACGGACCCGCGTCATGTGACCCAGTTTGATTGGATCGTCAGTCAGAGTCACAGCCGCTGCTTCACCCGGGATTTCTGCTCTGTATTTGACCGCGAAATACTCGAATTCGGCGATTTTTAATTAATAAAAAGTCAAAAATGTGTCGAGTCAAACTGAAAATCCATCTTTAATCAGTGGAAAATATCAATATTTATTTTATGTGTTCGTTTCTTTTTTTCATGATGGCAGCTGAGTCACTGCCTCCTCTGACGTCACTGATTATATATATAAGATTAAACTACTGCGATTGTTGTGACGTCATAACCGAACCTCCATACTGTGTATATGTATATGCGTAACTACAGCACAGTTACACAGGATCAACACGTGACTGTTAGTGTAAACAGCTGTTCTTCAGAATGTTTTAGACACAAACCAAACCTCAGCTGTGACTGAACAGTGACGTCATTTACAGTGTTTCTGCTCAGTCACTGGAAGTGAACTGTTCTTCATCTAATGGAGCGTTAATACAGCAGGAACAGAACCATCTGTTTTAACCTGTGAAGCTGAGGCTCCACTGACTGACTGACTGGCTGACTGGCTGACTGGCTGACTGGCTGACTGGCTGACTGGCTGACTCACTGACTGACTGACTGACTGGCTGGCTGGCTGACTGGCTGACTGACTGACTGACTGGCTGACTGGCTGGCTGGCTGACTGGCTGACTGACTGGCTGACTGGCTGACTGGCTGGCTGGCTGACTGGCTGACTGACTGGCTGGCTGACTGACTGACTGACTGACTGACTGGCTGACTGGCTGGCTGGCTGACTGGCTGACTGACTGACTGACTGGCTCTGTGCAGTGAACAGTAAAAAGTCCAAGGTTCTGCTCATGGCTGATTTGTTTAAGCAGGAGCCGTGGTTTCCTGGTGCCTCAGTGGCTCCACCTGTTGTTCAGTGGGAGAAGAACACTGTTTCACACTCACTACAGTCAGGGTTGATTATGGATCTGCTGCCTGAGGAGCAGTTGGTGAAGTTCACAGTCTACACACGGCGCCGAGACATTTCTGACCTTTGACTGAGTTACTGTAAACTGAGACACAAAATGAGATTCTAGAAGATCAGGAGTGGAAAAGATTTTTATACTGTTTATTTGGAGCCGTCGTGGTGTTGGACCTTCATATGTTTCCTCGTCTCCAAATTCAAAATGTCCTCCAAATCACATGAACTAATATTTAGTGTCCCGTGGTCTCACTGTTTATTTATTTTCTTCTTATTTATTCATGCTCCGTGGACTGGCTTGGTATTGATTTGTACGTTCATGTAACTACGGTGACAAGTGTGACGTGACTGCAGGGGCCGCGGTGAACCACCAGCGCTAACGCTAACTCGATCACCACAGCTACTCAGAGCCAGCCGTCTGTTCTGATGTCAAACTCCTGTCGTCGTTTCCCTCTGAACTCTTTTATTACAACAGCCAGCGTACAGTTTCTAAACCAACAACGCTGATCCATTTACAACGCTACCTGCTCCGTTGAAAGATCTCTGGGTTGAACTTTGCCCTTCAGGCCGTTGTTGCCGGGGCAGTCGGAGTTGCTAAGCGGAGCTCAGGTCCACAGAGAACATCCTTCGGTGATGAAAGGCGTAGAATCATGGTGCTGTGATGATGGTAACCTCGTTTCAGTAAACACCGTCACAGCTCGCTGCTCTGTCAGATGTTTCTGGGCGCTGCTTCAGTTCCCTGTACATCATGAGTCAGAAGCTGCTGCAGGATCTGCAGATACAAAACTCTATAAGAAGAACAGCATGAACTGCAGTTACCGTGAACTGAATGTGGGGCCGAGGCTCTCCCAGACTGACTGACTGACTGACTGACTGGCTGACTGACTGGCTGACTGACTGACTGACTGACTGACTGACTGACTGACTGACTGACTGACTGACTGACTGACTGACTGACTGACTGACTGACTGACTGACTGACTGACTGACTGACTGACTGACTGACTGACTGACTGACTGACTGACTGACTGACTGACTGACTGACTGACTGACTGACTGACTGACTGACTGACTGACTGACTGACTGACTGACTGGCTGACTGACTGGCTGACTGACTGACTGACTGACTGGCTCTGTGCAGTGAACAGTAAAAAGTCCAAGGTTCTGCTCATGGCTGATTTGTTTAAGCAGGAGCCGTGGTTTCCTGGTGCCTCAGTGGCTCCACCTGTTGTTCAGTGGGAGAAGAACACTGTTTCACACTCACTACAGTCAGGGTTGATTATGGATCTGCTGCCTGAGGAGCAGTTGGTGAAGTTCACAGTCTACACACGGCGCCGAGACATTTCTGACCTTTGACTGAGTTACTGTAAACTGAGACACAAAATGAGATTCTAGAAGATCAGGAGTGGAAAAGATTTTTATACTGTTTATTTGGAGCCGTCGTGGTGTTGGACCTTCATATGTTTCCTCGTCTCCAAATTCAAAATGTCCTCCAAATCACATGAACTAATATTTAGTGTCCCGTGGTCTCACTGTTTATTTATTTTCTTCTTATTTATTCATGCTCCGTGGACTGGCTTGGTATTGATTTGTACGTTCATGTAACTACGGTGACAAGTGTGACGTGACTGCAGGGGCCGCGGTGAACCACCAGCGCTAACGCTAACTCGATCACCACAGCTGCTCAGAGCCAGCCGTCTGTTCTGATGTCAAACTCCTGTCGTCGTTTCCCTCTGAACTCTTTTATTACAACAGCCAGCGTACAGTTTCTAAACCAACAACGCTGATCCATTTACAACGCTACCTGCTCCGTTGAAAGATCTCTGGGTTGAACTTTGCCCTTCAGGCCGTTGTTGCCGGGGCAGTCGGAGTTGCTAAGCGGAGCTCAGGTCCACAGAGAACATCCTTCGGTGATGAAAGGCGTAGAATCATGGTGCTGTGATGATGGTAACCTCGTTTCAGTAAACACCGTCACAGCTCGCTGCTCTGTCAGATGTTTCTGGGCGCTGCTTCAGTTCCCTGTACATCATGAGTCAGAAGCTGCTGCAGGATCTGCAGATACAAAACTCTATAAGAAGAACAGCATGAACTGCAGTTACCGTGAACTGAATGTGCGGCCGAGGCTCTCCCAGAGATGGAGGGTGAGTTATGGAGCAGACTGTCTATAAGGTATGAGGTGTTGTTCAGAGGACTTCTGTCCAGTAAAAGGTCTGGACTCATTAAACCCACCAAGCTCTGACCTGGACCATCTGCTCAGACCCAGAATAGACAAGTGTCCTTCATGGAACCACGTACCACTGTCACCGTGGGAACAGGAAGGTCCGCTGAGCCCCGGTCCATTAGATCAGCTCCATTATCCATGTGTTTGGACAGAGACTGAATGACTAATGTTTCAGAGCAGTTCAGACCAGCGGTGTCTGGTTCAGACATGTTTAAATATGGAGCAAAAAAAAAAAGAAGAGATAATGAATGAAACCAGATACCAAGAACAGAACCACTGAGCCACCGCTCTGCCGCAGCCAGGTTAACATTCTTAGTAACTGGAGTAAAAGATTCAGCCAACATCAGCTGCAGCTGCTGTCACGCTGGTGTTTACAGTCAGTGTCAGTGCTGCTGTAGATGAACCACAGACCGACTGACCACAAATGTTTATTCTTCAAACTTCTGTTGATCTTTGAGTTTTTTTTACTGTTTTAAATGTTTCCTTTCTTGGGATTCTTTCTGATTCCCATCAGGCCTTTCTGCTCAAACCAGTGACCTGTGGTCAGGAAGATGATCTCTGTCTTTACAGACCACGTCTGTGGTTGTACAGGACAGACAGATCAGCAGGTCTTTAAAGACCCACTCTGGTTTTCTTCTGTTCTAATCCCTGGTTTTAGGGTTAGATGATGATGATGATGAAGTTAAACAATTTAACTTATTTATTCACTACATGAACCGAGTTACTGGGCTTCATCAAAGATCCTGAACTAAATATTAAAATAATAGTAATAATAATAATAATTGTTCTGTATTTATTTGGACGGTCATTTATTTCCTGTTTCTACGGTCGGTTCTGAACAGTTTCTTCTAAGCTAAGCTAAG